GAAGGAGGTCTCCGCTCTGCCGCCTCGGGGACTGGGCAAGGATCTGGCCTTGCTCTGGCTCTGGGGAGCACTGTGGCTGCAGCCTGCTGGTTCCCGATGAGCCGAGGACAGACCAGGGTCAGGACTCTTCCCCGGGAGCCGCTCAGTGTGGCTGAGGCCCAGTCCATGTTGCCTGGCTTTTTTTATACAGTGTCTCCCCCCACCCCCACATTCCCACACACCCACACCCAGCCTCTCTTTATGTGGGGAATGTTCCTTCAGTAAAGGGAGATGCAGACCTCGTTTGAGCATGGTTCTGTTCTTAGCTCATGTTGTACAAAGCAAAACAGAGCAAACCGTATGACTGTGAGTCTGCAGTTGCTGCGAGGGTCTGAGTCATGAGTGCGTTGACTTGATGTGAGAGACGCAAGGAGAGAGTGTCACTCGCTGACTTTACTCTTTCACATTGAACTCAAGAGATCACTGATGCAGTCAGTGTTAGCGTGGGAGATACTTTAAGGCCGTGAACACTCCACTCATACGGAGGAGGAAACCAGTGCAGAGGGGTGAGCTTACCAGTCACACCGCAGATCCTGGATGGAAGGTGGTAGGGGGTGCAGAGCAGCAGCAGGTGCTGAGCTGCCTGTGGATGTGGGAGGTGTGGCCAGGCGCTCACAGTTCTCATTTCCACCTGATCCAGTGTCTGCGGGACTGGCTGGGTTGTGTTGCATTTACTGGGTGCAGGAGAGAGGGGGGCGCTTTTTCTTCCTTCCTTCCTTCCTTTCTTCCTTTTAACATATTTTTATTGATTTCAAAGAGAAAGGGAGAAGGAGAGAGAGAAACATCAATGATGAGTGAGAATCATTGATCAGCTGCCTCCTACATACCCCCCACTAGGGATCGAGCCTGTAGCCGGGCATATGCCCTCGCTGGAACCAAACCTGGGACCCTTTAGTCGGCAGGCTGATGCTCTATCCACTGATTACGCCCAAACCAACTGGGGCGACAGCAAGAAACAGCATTTTCATGGAGGACGTGTGTTCGTTGCAGACTCGGGAGTACTGGCTCATTGTATCTTACTCTGGCTTGTCTTGTGGCTTGTGCTTTTCCCCTGAATTGGAGTGTCATTGAATGTTAACTGTAGTGACAGTTATGCCCACCAGGTGGCATCATTGCTTTCCTTACATGATTTAAGCTCCTTTGGAGTCTGAGGTACAGTGATTGCTCATTTTGTTTTAATAATAAAAGGAGATGCCACAATATTTATTACGTTCTTGAAGAAACTGCTGCCACGCTTCCTTTTCAGTGCCTAATGCCACTGCCAAGGTTACCATGATAAACCATTTGAGAAGCTCACCCACCTCTGGGGCCCGCTCCTGCTCTGCATGGACGTGCACCGCCCACGGTGGTCCGACTTGGGCTCCAGGGAGGGCGGGGATAGGACACTGGCAGTGCTCACCTGCGCTCTTCCTTACGTTTGCAGCTGAATTTGAGATTCTGACTAATGGTACTAAGGGCATGTAGCTTTCCGATTGAACATGAATGTAGAAACGAACGACGCCTGCACACGGCAGCCAATTGTCACCACTGCCATCACCAGCCGGGGTTCTGGTTCCTTCCGTTCCGCTGTGCACCGGGCTGAGCAGCCCGGATCGGTTCTCTGTACCGTGGAGGTGGTGCTGTGTGAGGTGGCCTTCTCCCTCCCTCCTTTTCTCCAGAGAGAGGATAGGCATGGACAGGGTACAACACCCACCTCCCGCACCAGACACCAACTTTCCGAGTCACCTGCCTTCTCCGAGCATCCGTATCTTCGTTTGAGAATGAGGGTGACCGTGGAAGTGTCGGAGAGAATCAGAAAGAAAACACTGAGAGCAGTGGCTGGCACAGGGAATTATCAGATGTCAGCTGCTGTCATCACCCAGTGTCCCTGTCTAATCTTAGGAAGCTTCCCTGACTATCACCGCCACTCTCAGTTCTTACTGATCTCTCCAGCGTCCTGGCACCGGCATCTGTACGTGATTTGGTGTCTATAATTGGGATTCTCTTCTGGTGCCATGTGTTGTTTCAAGCTACTGAAGGAAGTCAGTTTTCCTCTGTAGTTTTTGCCTGTTACTCAGTAGAGTGTTCTGTACTTAGTAAGCGTAGCTCAATATATTATTTAAAAAAATATATCTATTGATTTTAAAAAATTTTTTTTTTAGAGAAGACTGGAGAGGGATAGAGAGTTAGAAACATCGATGAGAGAGAATCATCGATCAGCTGCCTCTTGCACACCCCCTACTGGGGATGTACCCGCAACCAAGGTGCATGCCCTTGACTGGAATAGAACCTGGCACCCTTGAGTCTGCAGACTGATGCTCTATCCACTGAGCCAAATCGGTTAGGGCAGCTCAATATATTCTTGATGAGGCATTTGTGAATTTTCTTTTTTAAAAATGTTATTTTTTAGTTAAAGTTTACATTGACTGTTGTTTTGCATTAGTTTCAGGTGTACAGCATAGTGGGTAGACAATCATACTTGACAAAGTGTCTCCTGATGTTCCCAGCACTCACCTTGCACCATACGTAGTTATTACCAAACGAGAGGCCTGGTGCACGACATTCATGCATGGGGGGGGGGTCTCTCAGCCCCACCTGCACCCTCTTCAATTAGGTGCAGGACCCCTTGGGGAATGTCTGACTGCAGTTTAGGCCCGATCTCTGGGATCAGGCCAAACCGGCAATCGGACATCCCTCTCACAATCCTGGACTGCTGGCTCTTAATCCCTCACCTACCAACCTGCCTGCCTGATCACCCTTAACTGCCCCCCCCCCCCCCTTTCCTGGCTCGATTACCTCTCACTGCCTCTGCGTGCCGGCCTGATCGCCCCTAACTGTCCCTCTCCCTGCTGGCTGGTCACACCTAAGTGCCCCCTGCTGCTGGCCAGATCACCCCCAACTACCCCCTCCCTGCCAGCCTGGTCACTCTTAACTATGCTCCCCCCCATTTGGTCACCCCTTACTTCCCCCCTGCTGCCGGCATGATTGCCTCTTATTGCCCTTGGTTGCCCCTAACTTTTCCACACACATACACACACACACCCACACCCAACCAGCCTGGTCGCCCCATGCAGCCTGCTTGTTCAGTCGTTTGGTCGACCCCCACCATCCCCTGCCAAACTGGTTGTAGGCAGCCATCTTGTGAGGGGATGGGGGTTAATTTGCATATTATCTCTTTATTATATAGGATTATATGGGACTAGAGGCTTAGTGCATGAGGTTTGTGCACTGAGTGGGGGCCAGCCTGTGCCCTCTTGCAGTCCAGGACCCCTCGCTCTTTACCACCCGCCTGCAGTGGAAGAGGCGAGAGAGGCTTCCACCACCTCTGCTGCACTCGTCAACCATGAGCCCAGCTTCTGGCTGAGCAGTGCTCCCCCTGTGGGAGCACACTGACCACCAGGGGCAGCTCCTAAGTTGAGCATCTGTCCCCTGGTGGTCAGTGTGCGTCCTAGCGACTGGTCATTCCAATGATCGGTCAATTTGCATATTAGCCTTTTATTATATAGGATTATATAGGAGGATTACTGACTGTATTGTAAATTTTCTTGAGGAATTCACTCTTAAGTGATGTTACTCCCAAAACATAACTCAATCACCGTGCTTTCCATAACATTAAGTACTTGTCAAAAAAGCAAAGGCTGAGTACAGTCTGTGTAATTTCCTAAATTAGCGGAGTGCTGTGCATCAGGCATCGGCATTTAAGATTGGACTCTTCCTCAGTGGTTTCCACAGGAATTTTCAAGTTTTAAAAAGACACCGTTATGCAGTGACAGGCTGCTTCTGAAGCAGCGAGCACTGAACTCTGACCGACAAGCTGCGGTCAGCTCAGTGCAGGAGGGCAGTCCGCTGCTTCCTGCTCCGGGCTCCCGGTACTGACCCCTGCGCTCGGGGAGGGGAGAGAGAGGGCAGGGCGCCGGGTGCAAAGGTCCAGGCCCCAGAACACGTCCTGGCGGTTCCGTAGCCACCCGGCCTTTGCTCCGATCACACCTTCCTAAGGGCTCCCTGCCTCGGGCTCGCTTCCGGTCATCCTCTGTTTTTTTAGCGGGACATGTGCAGTGACTTCTGTTTTCTTAGGCTGCAAGCTAATTTTGCTTAAGGAAATCGAGGGAGGCTTTGAAAATTCATATTTCATTTTCATTATGTCCTCCCAGCAGCTACTGGCACGTTTGTAGGGATGTGGGGAGTCAGGAAGGCGGAGTCAGGGAGGTGGGGAGTCAGGTGCCAGGAACGGTGGTGGCCGCAGGGCCTGGTTTGCCAAGGAGGAGGCCAGGCCGGCCCACAGCATCACCTGTTCAGACTCTGGTCCATTCTGAACGAGGCCGGGGAGCGGCCTCCACCTGGCAGTGCCCAGTGTCCACCCGGGCCAGGCCTGCTCTGTCAGCCAGAGTTGTGCTCCCCCGCGCCTTTCTCCCCGGGCTGACCTGCTGGGAGAGGAGCCCCGCACCCCACCCGGCACTCCCCAGCCCAGCATCCACTCTGCAGGTTTGCTGATCGTCGTTGGGCCTGGGACAAGGAGAGGGATGGCCACGTGTCTGTGCGGTGGGTGTCAGATAGGATTCTCCTCAGTCACTCCTCCCACCTGCAGGGCCTGAGCATTCTGCTGCGCAGCCTGAGTGGCGCTGGGTGTGGGCTCTTTCCCTTCCCTTAGAGGTGAGGCTGGGAACCTGCAGGCGGGCCTTACAGGCCACCTTGCTCGCACCCGGCACCGTCCGCAAAGGTTCTGCCCTGCCGGCCAGCGTTGCGTTAAACACAGCAGCCGTGAGAGCGAGCGCGTGAACAGTGTTTTGTTTGTGTTCCAGCTGGTGGTTTCGCTAAGCCTGGTGGCAGCAAGGGGAACAGACGGGCTTCCTGAGTCGCAGCCACCGGACTGTCTCGCCCGGGGAGAGCCGTGTGGAGGCGGACACGCAGTCCCTGCTGCTGCTCACCGCAGCCGCACTGAGTGCATTTGGCTCTGCCCGCTCATGGCCTGTCTTGTCTTTCAGTGGACGAGTACATCTCCATCGCCAAGGAGAAGCACGGCTACAACATGGAGCAGGTAACTCGAGCTTCTTCTGTGTTCGTAATGGGCTTAGGAGCGGCCACTCGGTGTGGTGGGGGTGGTGTGGCCGTGGTGGTCACAGCGGCGTCACCGCCCGGGGGCCTGTGTGCGAGGAGCCTTGAGGTGGGTGGCGGCGGGCGGTCCAGCTCCCGGGGCCACGGGGCAGTGAGCGGTCCGGCCCCCGGGGCCGCAGGGCGGGCTGCGGGGCACGTGCTTTCTTGCGTGACCGTGTGAGCTGTCCCTTTGTGGCTTCAGTGTTGTTTGCTGACCCGGGCTGCCACACTCAGACCTGCTGTGTTTCAGTGTTAATTGTTTTGAGTCACTTCCAGGTGTAAGATTTGGGTAAGGCTTCGTTTAAAAATGGCTCGGAGCCTGTGACACCCATTCTGATCCCTGTCCTCAAAGCGAGCCCGCGGCGTGGGCTGTGCTTTCCTGGTGCGGGCTCGGTTGTGCAGCCCGAGGCGCCGGCATCGCCCCTGCCCTCGTGCCTGAGGACGCTGGGATGGGGAGTGTGGAGGCCTCGGCCTTGTTTTTAGTTGTTCTGTCCTGTGAGCTGCTCAGAGGCAGCGGTAAGAGGGTCGTTGCGGAGAGAACTGGCTGCTTCTCGTGTCCTAGCCCCGCTCGTGAGCGGCATGAGCTGCCCAGAAACTCACCCATGTTTGTTCTGTCCAGAGGGTAACCATCGTTGGGGGGTGATTGGAAATATCCCTGTGTGAATGTCCTTGCTTCAGAGGTGTAATGAGGACGCTCCTCAGGAAGTCCCGAGCTCCCTCTCCTGTTTCTCCGTACTCCTCATCCAGCGTGTTTTCCTTTCTGAGCTGCTGTACCCCACAGCATCGTATTTGCAGGGGTTCCTTTTCCCCTATCCTCTCCCGAGGATATTTTTTGTTGATTTTAGGGAGAGAGGGAGAGAGGAAAACATGGACTGGTTGCCTCCCGCAACCAATCCCCCCAACCTGGGTATGTGTCCTAGGAATTGAACCCGCCACCTCTGGCTGCCAGGATGGCGCTCAGCCTCCTGAGCCCCAGCTGTGGGTGGGCAGGCTGAGTGCCCGGGGCCTCCAAGTCCAATTGGAGAAGTGAGGCTGGTGCCTGCTGAGCCCGGGTGCGTAGGACGGAGAACGCGTGGGCAGGGGCCATGCCTCCGGGACGGCCATGTTCGGTGCCGGGCAGCTCTGTCTGGGAAGGTGTGCACTCGCCAGCTTCATTGCCATGCTTACGTGTGTGCACACCTTTGGTCTCAGATCAGATCTCACCGGTGCTCTTTTCCAGGCTCTGGGGATGCTCTTCTGGCACAAGCACAACATCGAGAAGTCCCTGGCTGACCTGCCCAACTTCACCCCCTTCCCCGACGAGTGGACGGTGGAGGACAAAGTGCTGTTCGAGCAAGCCTTCAGCTTCCATGGGAAAACCTTCCACAGAATCCAGCAGATGGTGAGTAGATGAGACCCCGCCCCGCCCCCAGCCACCCAAGGGCAAGGGGTCTACACTGCAGGGGGCACTCCCGGCACGTCCCAGCCTGAGGCCATGACACACACACACACACACACACCCCGTTCAGACACCCCAGAGGGTGAGGGAAGGCTTGGGAAAGGAGGAGGTGGCCATGGGCCTGTCTGCCTGGAAGGGCTGCTTGCTTCTCTCTCCAGGCTGCTGCTGGGGCTCCTCCCGCTGCTGGCCTGAGGGCTCCATGAACTAACTCTGAGTGACCCAGATTCTGTCAGACGCGCTGGCGGCTTCAGGCGCGTGAGGACGGCTGAGTCCCACTCAGTCACACCTAGTCCTTTGGAAGTGGATGGAGTTTCTTCATGATTTTCCCTTGTTGGGGAAGGGCTGTGACTCTGACATTGGAGTGCGTGAGCGTGACCCTAATAAGTGTATGTGAGCCTTCGCCTCTGACAGGTTAGTGTTGATCTAAGCCAGCTCGTCCTTCCTGTAGCTTCCTGACAAGTCCATAGCCAGCCTGGTGAAGTTCTACTACTCATGGAAGAAGACGCGGACCAAGACCAGCGTGATGGATCGCCACGCTCGCAAGCAGAAGCGAGAGCGGGAGGAGAGGTGAGCCTGGGGCGCGTCTCCCGCTGGGCCTTCGGGTCCCTAGACGCTGTGACTGGTGACACAGGCGAGATGGTGGCTGCGCTTCCCCGGGGCCTTCCTGCTAGAACCAGGCTCGCCGCATGCTGGCCTCCCTCGCTGCGGCTGCCCTTGCCTCGCCACTCTCCTCTCACGCCCCCGAGGGCGGCTTTAAAAAGCGGATCTAAGACAGAGAGGGTGGGGAATCCAGCCTGTTGTCCCTGTGTACACACTCCGGGGACTCGCATGTGCCTGGTGGGGATCGGCCCACAGCCCGGTGCACCAGGATGACGACTGAGCCTGAGCCCGGGCCTGCGCGGCGTCTCCAATAGCAGGTCTGCTTTCCTGGCGCCTCTCTTCAGTCAGCTTTTTGTTCCTCCTCACTCAGGACACCTTCCCACTGACCTTCCAGAGAGAGTGGAGGGAGAGGGGCTGAGAGAAACATGGGTGATGGCTGCCTCGTGCATGCGCCCTGACCAGGGCCCAGGCCTGGGAGGAGCCTGCCACCAAGGTACATGGCCTTGACCGGAATCAAACCCAGACCCTTCTGTCCGAGGGCCGACGCTGTGTCCACGGAACCCCACGGCCAGGGCTCTGCGTGGAGCCACCGGATGTGCTTGCGCAGGTGCATCGGCGTGTGCTCGTGTTTGGGGTTCTGCCTCTCGGTCGGGAGCGGTGCTGAGGCCTCGCCTCGCTCTCCCCTCCGAGCCGTGTGTGTTGCCCCGGGGCTCGAGCTTGGGGTGGCAGATGCCAGTACAGTTTGAATTTCCTTCTCCCCTCTTCAACCGTTTTGTGAGAGAGAGAGAAGCGTTTCGTGTTTTCTTAGGAAACACGAGCTTTACAGCGCGTTTAGTGAAAGGATGCGTCCTGGTCACCAGGCCCTCGGCCTCTGTGGGCACAGCGCAGGGGGCGTGGCCGCGCGGAGCACACAGGCTTCAGTTCAGACCAGCTCTCCCGTCCCAGCCCCAGGCCCTGCCCCTGCCCCAGCTCGCCTGCCCCAGCTCACTAGCTGCAGCCCCAGCTTGCCTGCCCCTGCCCCGTCCCAGCCCAGCCCCTCGGCTGCGAAGGAAGGCACTTCAGGGTCAGGCGCCCACACCCAGCCCAGTGGCCTGTGGGTTAGGTTGGTGGTACTAGAGGCAGCTTTTTAAAGTTACATTTTCCAATCTTTGCATGTCTCGTTTTTATGAACTATTAGTGATAATCTGGGGCATCTCAGAGTATTGTGATTTCCCGCTAAAGGGAGCAGCACGTGGGACGGGCTGAGAGGGGAGCACACCCTGCGGCGTTCTGCCTCTCGGTCGGGAGCGGTGCTGAGGCCTCGCCTCGCTCTCCCCTCCGAGCCGTGTGTGTTGCCCCGGGCGTGTGCGCTGGCCCGGGCGTGTGCGAGGCTTGGTCTTCAGCTGCACACGGGCGTGCGGTGAGCGGCAGCTCTCCTCACGCCAGAGAAGCGTGGCAGACGCTCACCGGTGTCCGGGGCGGCAGAGCTGCGCAGTGGCATGGCTGTTCCCGCACAGGGCGGCTTGTTGCTGGGTGCAGTGAGGCTGTCCTGCGGCAGAGGCCGTCTCCTCACTGAGTCAGTGTCAGCACCAAAGCAGCCCCCTGTGCTGAGGAGGAGTGACGCCCAGGTGATGCCTCCTCCGCGGGCACGTCACGCCCCCAGATGCAGACGGGGCGCCCGCAGGGGACCGCCGTGGAGCCACGGCAGGACGGAGGCAGAGCGTCCTCCTCCCAGGCTCTCTCTTTCCTTCCCACTCTTTCCCTGGGCCGAGGAGGGTGGGGTAGGGGGAGAGTGGGGTGCAGGGGGCGTGGTCATCTGGATGCAGGGGGGTGTGGCTGCTGGAAAGCAGAGCCCTCTGCCCGCCATTTGGCTCAGTGGTGAGCCAGCGGCAGGCTGCGGGGCCTTGTTCTCTCATTTCCTAGGGGCGCTGCCCCGAGCTCTTGTCCTCTGAGTGCATCCGCATGGAGCATGAGCTGGAGCGGGCAGCACCGCTCCGGGGACCTGGTGACGGACCCGTGCCCGCCGGCGCTCAGCGTGGGCTGGGGCGGCGGGCGGCCTGGCCGCAGTCCGTTTGCTGGTCAGTGTGCTCCCTGCGAGCCGGCCTGCATTCGGGAATGTTGCTCAGTGGTAGCGACTGGTCGTGTCCCAATTCGCCACCAGGTCATTACGAGGCAATAGTAAATGTCTTAAATTTTACCTTTTCAGCCGAGAGGAAACACTTTATATAAAGCAACAGGGTTCTAGGCCAGTTTGGGAGTTAGAAACCCATTTTAATAGTTTATTTTAATCATTTAGACGAAAACAACTGTGGAATTGGTGTTTTATTTAAATTGTAAAAAGGTTTTTAGCTCAGAATCTGAAAACATTCTAATTTTATATCAAATCAATATATTGCTTCTATTTGTATATCAAGTACATTAATACAAAATAACCTTGCAGTCACTTTTTCTTGTCTTTCAGTGAGGATGAACTGGAGGAAGCAAATGGAAACAATCCCATTGACCTTGAGCTGGATCAGAATAAGGAGAGCAGAAAGGAGGTATTCTCCCCGTTAGGCAAACAGGTGTTTGTAACCTGTCCGCTGACAATAGGGGGTGTTGGGATGTTAGTCTTTTGAAATGGGGGTTGCAGTCTAGCATCATTTTGTCCATTCATAGCATTGAATCAAGCACCTGTGGGCCCCCCGAGGAAAGCCCGGCTCTGTGGCTCTGGGGGCCCCCACAGTCCAGCACTGCCTGTGGCAGGCCTGGCCCCGGGGCCCTGGAGGGAGGCCCGGCTCCTCAGGCTGCGGCTCTGGCCCCGCTGGGGTCTTGTGAATTATTCTGAAGGAGGAGCCTGCTGTTTCAGTAAACGGCGAGCTCTCTGTCTCAGAGGCTCAGGTCTGAGAAAGCTGCTTCAGGCGGAACCAGAAGGCTAGACATACCTAACCGGACCTGGCACCAGTACCGTGTGCTTTTCATGGACAAAGTACAAAGCTCATTGAAAAGGGGAAAATGACACCACTTACACACACAGTCACCATGAACATGCTCCCCTGTAAGAATGTGTGGGTGCCGGGAGCTGTGGCTAGAGTGCTGTCCCTATACACCAAATTTGATCCCCACTGAGAGCACATAAAAACATTCATCAGTGGGTGTATAAGTAAGTGGAACAGTAAATGGGTATCTCCTCCTCTTTCTCCCTCTGCCTTTCTCTCGCTCCCTAAAATAAATTTTTTTAAAATGATTTAAGTGGCCCTAGCCAGTTTGGCTCAGTGGATAGAACGTCGGCCTGTGGACTGAAGTTTCCTGGGTTCGAGTCCGGTCAAGGGCACAGGTCCAGGTTTGGGCTTGGTCCCAGTAGGTGGCGTGCAGGAAGCAGCCGATCAATGATTCTCTCTCATCATTGATGTTTCTATCTTTCCCTTCTTCTCTCAAGTCAATAAAAATAAATATTTTTTAAATGTTTTTAAGTATATACTTATATACTTAATTCTGAGTAAATATTTATTTTAAAATACATAAATGGGATCTTAAGCTATATATAAATTTTATAACCTTTCAAATTCATTCTGTTTGAACTTTTTTTTATGTCAGATACATTTGTATACACAGCTGTGCCGGGCTGACCGTCAGCCCTGAGTGACGGATGAAGGCTCCTCTCACCTGTTTCTGTGAAGGGGACGAGGCACCACTTGGCTGTCACCGCCAAGTAGCCTGTTCGCCGCCTCCTTTGGCTTTATTGTCACAACAGCTTGAACTAAAATAACCTCCAGACACAACCAGCGGGCAAGCAGCCTTGAGGATGCACACACTCCTCCAAGCACACGCTTCTCCAAGGTCGGAGCTTAGAGAATAAGCACAGAGATTTGAGCAAAACACCCGGGGTCAGACTTGCTTGGAAATGTCAAGGCACGGGCTGCCGCCTTTGGCAAGGCTCGACCTTTTGGAGATTCCTTACAGACACCCAACCAAGCCCCTTCCCACCCAGCTGTATGTCCCACACACCTGTCACTCGAGGAGAGGCATCCTCGGGGGTTTCTGCAGTCCTGCCACGCTTGCTCTTACAGACAATGCCAGCCTGCTGGCTTCATAACTAAGAACGTGTGCACTTAATTTTTTCCATTACAGTTAATTTTTAAAAATATATTTTATTGATTTTTACAGAGAGGGAGAGGGAAAAAGAGTTAGAAACACGGATGAGAGAGAAACATCGATCAGCTGTCTCTTGCACACCCCCTACTAGGGATGTGCCCGCAACCAAGGCACATGCCTTTGACCGAAATCAAACCTGGGACCCTTGAGTCCATAGACCGACGCTCTATCCACTGAGCCAAACCAGTTAGGTCTATAGTTAATTTCTGGATATGGGCTGTGGGTCAAAGTGTTCTAGACATGTTTTTAAGGCTTCTTTGGTCTGGTTACATCACCAAATGAGGAACTCGCTTTTCTCGACCGATGGCACTCTGCCAGTGACTCCTAGGAGTCCCAGTGACAAGGCTGCTGTAGGGTCTGCAGCTCAGACGGTCTGAGAAGTCAGACTGGACTTGGGGTGTTTGGTTAGCTTTGTTTTGTTGCATCATTAGGTTCTTCAATGGAACGTTTTAAATGGAAGAGAAAAGGTTGATTTTATATTAATTTCTGTAATTCCTATTTATATAGCTCAATTTCTCAATATAAAAGAAAAATGCTTAAATCATAGTTTGTTTGCACACTAACGTGTTATGAAAACAGACACGCTGTCCATCGGCGGTCTTTGCTGGACAGCATAGCCCTGTGGCGGCACCATGGGCCCCTGCTACCCCTGGAGGCTCACTGCCGTGGCGTGGCCTCTGCTAGTGCTGGGGCTCACTGCCGTGGCCGTGGCCTCTGCCGGCACTGGGGGAATCACTGCCGTGGCTGTGGCCTCTGCCGGCGCTGGGGAATCACTGCCGTGGCCGTGGCCTCTGCTGGTGCTGGGAGCTCACTGCCATGGCCAGTCTGCATGGCCTTCAGCTCAGTCTCACAACGTGGAGGTATTTAAGTGTTTCAGCAAAGCACATGCACTTCTTGCTCTTAAAGGGGTGAGCAGGGAGACACCACGGCTGCTCTGCCTTTCGTTTTTGCAGGTTTGGGATTCAGAGAGAAAGTGCTTAAAAAATAGCATTTCAATGACAGCTTATAGGTCTGGAAGGAGATTTTTAGGGCACAGTTGCCCTAAAAGCTAAGTCATTCCCCCCCCCCCCCCCCCAATGTGTAAAAAGTCACAGTTTCACATTGAAATTTGCATATTTTAAAACTTGTTTAAAGATTTAAAGAATTTAAGTGGATCTTTATACATGTGCTGAACCAACCACCCTCCCCTCTTTCCTCCCTTTCTTCCCTCCTTCCTTTCCCGCTTTCTCCCTCCCTTCCTTCCCTTACCTCCCTCCCTCCCTGCTTTCCCTCCCTCTTTTCCTCCCTCTGTCCGTGGCCAGGGTCCCTGTGCACGTGGGGCCGGTGAAGACAAGCAGCTCCTACCCTCTGGGTGCAGGGAGCCTCCGAGTGAGAGTGGGGGTGCAGCTGTGGCAGGAAGTGGGTCCTCTGCCAGGTGTTCAGGCCGAGCCCTGTTCACTTGGCATTTTAATTAGTCCACATCTGTGTATTGTGCAGGCGCCCCCCACCGAGTCTGTCCCGCAGATCAAGAAAGAGAAGCACAGCACGCAAGCTAAGAACCGCGCCAAAAGGAAACCTCCGAAAGGGATGTTTCTCTCCCAAGAAGACGTGGAGGCCGTGTCTGCGAACGCCACCGCCGCCACCACGGTGCTGCGCCAGCTGGACATGGAGCTGGTCTCCATCAAGCGCCAGGTAACGCCCGGCCCGGGGCTGACCAGGCCGGGGCTGACCAGGCCTTGGGTTCACTCACACACATGGTCTCCTCCCACATCTCCCAGGGCTCGTTCCCTCAGGAATTGGGCAGAAGATCTTCATACTGGCTTAGCTTTCTCTTAACTTCACTTTGAAGTCGATGTTAAGAGTGTGTGTATAAATGCTTGTGTGCGTGCGTGTGTGTTTGGTGATTTCCATACGGTGAGCACGCCCAGCTAACTTCTCTCTGAGCCAAGAAATGGCCGTTGGCTCCAAAGCCCCACTCTCGTCCCCTCCGGCCACTGTCACCCTGAGCGCAGCGTCACCTGCTCCACTTGCGCCTCTTGCTCACCCCGCCTTCTCCAGGGCGTGGCCTCTATTCTAACTTTAAAACCACCAGTGATGGCGACGCATTTTTTGGATTTTAGAGAAAAACAAGAGGCTCGGTGCACAAAAGTCACGCACAGGGAGGGTCCCTGGGCCTGTCTGGCTATCAGGGCCTATCAGGACCTTCCGGCTACTGGCCAGGGCCTCCTCCTTCCCGCACTGCCTCTGGTGGGCAGTGCACTCACAGTGAGCCATCGCACTCCCGTTCCCACTCCAGAGGGGACCATCTGCATATTGGGCTTTTAGATAGATAGATAGATAGATAGATAGATAGATAGATAGATAGATAGAGGACATGATGTGGTTTCTTGCATGTCTGGTTTTCATGTAACATGAGAGAGCATCGTGTAGTGTAGAGCCGAGGTTCTCCTTCTTTCTCACTGCCGGGAACAGTTGTACGAAGTAGGCGTCTGGGCATTGCAGAGAACACTGGGTGAACGTCTTTTATGTGGCCCTCGCACGGTGTGTTCTGTTGGCATTGCTGAGGGGGGCGTGCGTGTGTCCAGCCTCAGCGGTGAGTGTGGGTGGGCTGGGTGCTTCCTCTCTGGGGGGCATTCGCTGTCCTGTGCCGCGAGTGCCGGCTGCATCTCTGGCCTCCACCCCCCAGATGCTGGCAGTGCCCCCGCCTGTGTGACCACAGAACTGGCCCGGGAAGAGGGGCGCGGGTTGCCCGTTTTCTGTTTGGCGCGCTCTCCTCGTGGCGTCCTTGAGTCACAGAAGTCCCTCACGTTGCTCTGAGTGCGTGGAAGTCGGGGTCTGGAAGGACAGGTCCTCCAGATTGTCTTGGCCATTCCTGGCCCTTTGTATCTCCATTTAAACGTAGTCGTCTTCTCGACTTGCAGAGAATGCTCCTACGAGGGTCTTGCTTGCAATCGAGTAGAGAATTAACCATCCGACCGTGAGACGCCCACACCGCAGCAGCCGTCAGTGCTCTGCGTGTTGTTGCCAGTGCGTGGGGCTGCCTGTCCTTGCTGGAGTTGTTCCTCGGTATCTGGCACCTTCTTGATGTTCTTTTAAAGGACATTGTTTCTTAAATTAGCCTTTCCGCCTGCCCCTCACTCTTTCTTCCTCTCTCCAACCAATAAAAAAAAGTGGCTCTTTTCTCTGTTTATGCGAGTGTGGGAAGCAGCGTGTGGTTTGCATCTGAGTTTGCCTGGAGCATCGCAGCTGACGCACCGCGGAGCCTCCTGTGGCCCTTTCTCTGCCCGCGTGTGTGTGTGTGTGTGTGTGTGTACGTGTGTACGTGTGTATGTGTGTGTGTACTGTGTGTGCTCTGCCCGCCCATGTGTGTGCTGTGAGTGTGTACTGTGTGCTCTGCCCGCCCATGTGTGTGCTGTGTATGTGTGTATGTGTGTGCTCTTTGAGGGTTCACTTCAGTGTTTGCTGCTTTGACTTGTTGGAAGGTCGAATAGAAGGCCAGCTCTCGCTTTGGGGATGAGAACGTGGGTCCGAGGCCCCACCTGGTGGTGCAGGAGGGAGCGGAGCTGCACACTCATCTCGGGCACCGCTCAGCCTCCGGCCTCTTTCCAAAGAGGTCAGTCCTCACTGCCCGCCTGCAGGGTGCGAGGAGAGCTGCCCGCCTCCAGGGTGCGAGGAGAGCCGCCCCACCTTCCAGGGTGCCGAGGGCTGCAGAACATTGGGGCTCTGCTTGCGTGGGAAGCACTCGCCCCAATCGGGCCACGCTCTCGGGGCGCATCTGCCCTTCCTCTAGGGCAGTGTCTCCCAAACTTTTACATAGGTGCGCCTTTTCTATAATTTTCGTAACGCTGAGTACCCCTCGTGCTCATGAGAACGTAGAATTAGGCACAGCTAAGCACGGTGCAGTGCATATCCCCCCAAACTCTTCCCGTGCCCCTGGGGGTGCGCGTACCACACTCTGGGAAACACTGCTCTAGGGAGACTCCCTGCTCCCTGCGGCTGCACCCCCTCTTCCTCCAGCGCTGGCTGTGGCTGCGGCGGCAGCCGGAGGAGAGCAGGCAGGAGCAGGGCTTTTGACTGGAGGCAGCCCTGGCTCACAGGGCGCTCGGGGTCCACCTTGCAGAGGGAGCAGGGTCCCGTCCCCCATGGCCTCTGGCTCCGCCCAGCGCTGGCTGGACTCCGTGTTGGGTTGTGTGTCAGGGAACCGTTCACCTGGGAATGACAGGAAACCTGACTCACGGCAGCTTGGACGATGAAGGAAATGCTTTTAAAAGGTGTTTTTATTGATCTCAGCAGAGAGGGGAGAAACATCACAGTTGTTACCAGCACCGCCTCTCACACCCGTTCTCTTCCCCACAAGCTCCGGAGCCCCACAGCGGCCGGCTCTCCGGGCGCTGGCTCTGCCTCAGGTCCCCCCTGCTGTCATCCCTCTCCTGCCACTTCCGCCTGCGGGCAGAGCCCAAGCCCCCGGCCTCCCGGCCTGCTGCCCGCGGACCAGCCCGCCGCGCCCCACTTCAGAGCTTCTTTATTTAAAATAACAGCCTTTCCTCTCTTAGATTCAGAGCATTAAACAGACAAACAGCGCTCTCAAAGAGAAACTCGACGGGGGCATCGAGCCCTACCGACTCCCCGAGGTAGGCCTGCCGGGTTCCCGTGGAGGCCAGCCGCTCCCCGGCGTGAGGCCTGGCCTGAGGGTGGTGGCTCCTCAGGAGGGTGGCCGCTAACGGACTTGTTTGGGTGTCCAGGTTGTTCAGAAGTTCAATGCGCGCTGGACCACAGAGGAGCAGCTGCTCGCCGTGCAAGGTATGGTCCTTGTCACTGAGCTTTCGGGGAGATGGGGAAATTCCCCCCACCCCGTGCACTGCTCACGTGGCAGCAGCCACACCCCCTCCCGCTGGCCTCCCAGGTTAGAGCTCAGCTCTAAGTGTAAGAGCTCATTTTACAGGCTGAGTGTCAGGGGTTAAGGTCGGGGTGTAGCCTGGGACCTGAGGGAGTGCCCATAGTCACTGCTGGTGGCGTGTTCACGGGGCGTCTGAGGCCGGGCCGCCCTGACCTCGTGAGCCGCCGTGGGTGTGGCCGGGAGCCTGCAGGTCTCCGTGTCGGGCTCGGGAAGGCCCCAGCGGGGCCTCAGCGGCTCTCCGTGCTGAAGCCACGCTCTCTTCAGCCATCAGGAAGTACGGCCGGGACTTCCAGGCCATCTCAGACGTGATTGGGAACAAGTCGGTGGTGCAAGTGAAAAACTTTTTTGTGAATTACCGACGCCGCTTCAACATCGACGAGGTGTTACAGGAGTGGGAGGCGGAGCACGGGAAGGAAGAGGCCAGCGGGCCCGGCGGCCAGAAGCCCGTCAAGTCCCCGGACAGCGCGCTCAAGGTCCCCGAGGAGGAGGAGGAGGTGAGCCCGCAGCAGCACGCCCCTCCCCGGGGCCGCCCCCGCGGCGCTGACGCCCGCGCCTCGCGGGCAGGTTCCCGGGCTGGCCGGCTGGCACGTGGTGTTGGCCACGATCTGTGTGAGGAGTCCACTCAGGTTTGTCCCTGGCGTTCCTGACATGTGAATTCCTGGGTTCGTCCCTCATGTCACCCGGGCTTCCCTCCCAGCCTCGCTCATTCCCACCGCCGCTCAGGCACGGAGCGCTCTGCCGGGGAGCGGGGAGCTGCCGTGCCCGCGCAGCAGCCCGCGCCATGCTGTCGCCTCTGCGGCCCCGGACTGCGGGGCGTTCTGCCCGGCCACGGGCGGGCTCACTGCTCCCCCGGGCAGTTCGGAGCGGATGTCGGGACGGCCAGGTGGTGGTCAGGCAAGGGCTCCCCAAGGCTGCAGGGACCCGTCCCTCCCTGCTGTGGGACAGGTGGTTGTGTTCCCGTCACAGGGCCCGTCACCGCCCTCGCTCATTGGCGCAGTTCACTGTGGTCGCTCCCGGTCAGCGTGGCTTTACCAGGAAAGTCCCTCCTCACGCCGCCCTGAGGGGAGTGTCCGGCCTGCCGGCAGCGTGTGCTGACCCGGGCCGCTGGTTAGGGGGGCCCAGCCCCTGCTGAGACCCCGGTGCCAGGGTTCCGGCCAGCGCGGGGCCTGCTGCAGCTCTGGCTCGCGCGGCATCTGAGCAGCACAAAGGCTCTTCGTCTTTGGCCGTGACTTCGTCCCGGGCGATTGCCCTTCAGCAGCAGCGCCCTGCTAGGTCCCGGCTCCGCCCGGGAGGCGTGAGCAGTGAGGCCTCGGGACAGGGCGCTCGAGTTGCAGCAGAGATGCTTTCTCCATGCGCTTGCCTCGCACAGAAGGTTGGGAAGCCGGGGTCTGGGCTGCTGAGATCAGGGTTTGTGGAGGAGCCAGCGGGGCCCGGGCTGGGGTGGCAGAGGGCAGAGTGAGCGCTGGAACGGAGGAGGGAGAGGAGGAGCTCCGTGAGGGAGTGGAGGCTCCATGTCGCTCGGAGTCGACTCGCGATGGACGCCTAGCCCTTTGGGAACCTGAGCCCCTGAAGGGTGCATTCCAGCTTCTGGGTGTGGAGCTGCTGTTTCCTGGCAACAAGATGCCCCGAGGGGAGCAGGGCCTACAAGGGACCTTTAGGCTGGAGGTTTGGGGGGAGTCCGGCTTGAAGGCGGGGGAATGCTGTGGCAGCTGTGACAGAGGGTCCTGCCATCTTGGGGTCTTAGGTGTCCTGTGTCCCCACAGGAGCCCCGGGGCCTCCAGCCGCGCTGCCCTCACCGAGCACCCGCTCTCCCTGGCCGCGTTCTGCTTGTCCTGGGTGCTGGGCGCCCTGACTGGATTCTGCGAGGAGACAGCTGGACGGGGCAGGGCCGGGCTCTGAGCGGGCACCTGGCTGCAGGGCCACACTGTGCAGCCGCCTCTTGGCCGCCTTAGGAGCTCTGTGCCCCTGTGTGGGCCGGCAGCAGGCCCCCCGTCACCTTGCAGGACACCAGAACAAGCCGTTTGCATTGTTTCCTGCTCTTTTATAATTTTTTTTTATTGATTTCAGAGCAAGGGAAGAGGGAGAGAGGTATAGAAACATCGATCGGCTGCCTCCCACATGCCCTCCATGGGGGATGGAACCTACAACCCAGGCATGTGCCCTGCTAGGAATTGAACCCTGACCTCATGGCTCAAAGGTCAACACTGAGCCAACGTCAGCCGGGCTGATTCTTTGTTCTCCTTTCCTCAGGCCGCTTCTGTTCTTGACGTCAGATACACCTCTGCCTCCTGAGACACCCCGGCCGCTTCCCACACTGGTATGGGCGTCCGCGTTACCGGACATCAGGTATGACACGGCATCACCTCGCCATCTGCTCCCACCTGTGGACAAGCAGCTATTACCAAAAATGGCAACACTTCGGTCCTGTGCTACATCTGCCTTAATTCTTTGCTCGTTCCTCCATGCTGGCGCACTAGCTGGAGAGCTCCGTGCATCTCGCGTGGTCTCCCTGCTGGGATCTCGCAGCTGCACGGCCCCTGGCCCTGGGGCTGCCTCCCCAGGCAGAGCTCCGGCCCCAGGGGGCTCTCCCCACCGTCCGCAGCTTCCGAGCAGGTGGCCGCCCGGAAGGCCCGCCTCTTCCTGCATGGCCCGGATCGCTCCTTTTGCATCATGTCCTTCTCAGCAACTGGACCTGTTGGCCTTCTAGAGGGTTCTCTGGTCCTGTGCGAGGCCCCCACCTAAGCGATCATGTTTCTGGATGTCATCCTGTGTGCAGACTGCAGTAACCTTCATCGTGCCAACCTCCCGATCCGGGCCTGCTTCCCGGGAGCGGGCTGATGCTGAGCGGCTAGTCCGCTCCCCGCTCCCCTGGGCCTGGCGGGCTCCCAGCGGCTCGCAGCAGCGCTCTGGACACGTGACTTAAAGGAACACGGACTCCACCCTCTGCCTTCAGCTCTCAGCGTGGCAGCCCAGGTGGGTGCCGCCTCGTTCCCCGCTTCCCCCAAACCAACTCCAAGAGATTGGGTCCGTACACTGCCTGGTGCTTGTACACTTGGACTTGGTGCCTTCCCCTGGGGCCGCAGCCTTCCCAGTCCCGTCTCTGCTTCAGTGTCGTGGCTCTTTCACGTCGTTGCTGCCAAAGATGACACCCGTGCGTGAGAGCCCGCCGCCGCGCCCACCGGAGCAGACTTGGATGTCGGGCAGGCCGCGCGGGCACGGAGCAGCCGGGAGGGTTTCTAGATGCACGTCGTTCCCCTCCTGGGCAGCCTGGCTTCTCCCCGGCACTCCACATGCCTGGTCCTAGGGCCCGGATGGGCTGCACACCCCGCCTCCCACAGCCGAGCAGAGCCAGGCGTGAGCAGGTGCTGGTGCTGGTGCTGCTGCTACTGCTGCTGAGCCGCCGTGAGAGCAAGCAGCCCGCGGGGCATGCACTGCTGGCTGGACGGGGGCAAGTGGAACTTGTGAGAAACGTCCTAGGACGTCCACTCACTCTGCTCTCCGCTGGCCCGGAGCGGCTGCGGGCTGTGCCGCCCTCCCCGCAGCTCTGCCGGCACTGGACACGCTGCAGGAGCTTCTGCTGTCGTTCCCCATCATTTAAACACTTTCCTGCTTTCAATACCAAAAAGAAAAGCGTGAGGCTTTAAGGCGCATAAGCAATTCTTAAGAATTTAAAATATGCAATTAAAACGGGATGTTTTGCTGTCAAGCACCTTGCCTTTTTTAAGTCAGCTGATTTAGGAAGAGGGTCAGCTAGAATCATAGCGTGTTTGGAATTGGACTTCTGGTTTAAAGGAACCTGGACAAAGGTCACTCTGAAGGGGCAGTAAGAGGGGACTTGCTGAGCTCGCGTCCTCTGTACCTGCACGGGAGTCCCAGCAAGTGAGGACAGTTGGGAGGCAGAGGACAGTCCGGCCCGGGAGCGAGAGAACACGGAACTGCCCAGACTGGTCTCTGCATCAGAGCCAGTTGTGCGAGTGCAGTGCAGGGCCACGGAGCGCTCGCACGTCTGCACGTATCCCTGAGGACATGGCCTGGCAGGGGCGTAGGCTCCTTCTCTCGCCCCCTCCTCCCGGCCTCCATCCTCTCCGAGTCAGCAGGGCCTCCTGCAGGGGCTCTCCTGCCTGCGGGTTGTCCCTCCCTCGGCCCAGCCTGTGTTCCTTGGGAACTGGTGCCCTGGCCGAGGGGAGCTTGGTGCCCTCCTGCAGCGAGGCAGGGCCAGGCGCCGGCCTGCCTGGCACTACGTGCTCTTCGGTCTTCACCTGCTTCGGGCCATCGCGCTGGTCTTCCCGCCGGCTCGGCAGCTGCCATGGGCTCTCTCCCAGGAAAAGGGCCTGTGGTTTCCACCGCCAGAAGGAAGAGGCGGCGTCTTGGCCTGGCTGCTGGCTGCTTCCGCCGGTTTCACATCTGAGCGAGCACTGCCCTCAGCTGTCCGCACTGTCTGCAATGATGTAAATGCAAGAACCACTCTGCTGAAAGCGAGTGACTGGTCTCTCCGATGAGGAGGCCCTTTTAAACATATCAAGACTTCGGTGCATCACAGGCGTGTGGGTGGGAGGTCAGGGACCATGTTCCCTCAGCTTTGTCTTCTTAAAGAGTATCAATGTGAATGTCATAATTATATCTATTTTTGTGCAAGATTTCTCCTAAGTATAAGTTATTGTGCAAAATATAGTACCATTGAAACAAATGATAGTTTTAGTTTAGAATTCCCAAAAGATATAAATTGTATTGCATATGCATTAAAGTTTGTTTTATTTAATTTCATGTAGCTGTGTAAAGTGTTAGGCAGTTTTTCTCGCTTCTCCATGGAAACACCTTGTTACTTGAATGCTGCACTGTCGGTTTGAACGGCGATCGGTTCCGTGATGCGGCTCTTCCCCAGGGAGACCGAGCGGCCAGGAGCCGAGGCCGGCGGCACCACGGAGTGGGCTCGCTGTGCGTGCGACCCAGACGCGTCCCGTGAGACGCTTTGATCGTTTTTAACTGTATACCCTTTGATGCTCACAAACCTCTAATCAGGAAAGTCGTATGAAATACAGTTGGTTTACAACCTGACTGCAGGACAAAGCAAGCAGTTTCCTGTGTGTGTAAACTTTCCTCAAATGTCGCATGCCTGTAAGTGTGCTCGTGTCACTTTAAATTCCAACTAGCCCTATTTTTGTCTTTCTGAATATCACTTGTACTGTGGTATGACCGTGCACCAAAAACAAGCCACCAGCGCGTTACACTGGCCAGAGCTGCCGGGGCGGGAGGGGAGCCAGCGCTGGGCTTGGTGCCGCTTCCTCCCCAGCCCCATGCCGAACCCTAAGCCCCAGGATTCAAGCTTTTGTTCTGTTTTTAATGCATTATTTTATTTATATTCAGACCTAAGCCCCAGAGTTATAAAACAGCTCTAAAGCTGTATGCGACCACTAAAAATGGCCCGTTCTTTTTTTCTTTTTAATATATTTTATTGATTTTTTACAGAGAGGAAGAGAGAGGGATAGAGATTTAGAAATGTCGATGAGAGAGAATCATCGACCAGCTGCCTCCTGCACACCCTCTACTGGGGATGTGCCTCCAACCAAGGTACATGCCCTTGACCGGAATCGAACCTGGGACCTTTCAATCCGCAGGCAGACGCTCTATGCACTGAGCCAAACTGGTTTCGGCTAAAAATGGCCCATTCTTAAGTCATTGCCATCACACCATCGAGAGAGTTCGCTCCCGAGCCACGGAACCGTGTGCCGGGCCCTTTTCCTCTGCGCTGCAGGCGGCGGCGTGGCCACAGCCATTTCTTAACGGCGTGGGCCCTTCGGCCTAAAAGGCGTGGAGGTTTTGCTCCAGGCTCACCAGGAGCGAGGAGAGCAGCGGGCTGCAGCAGTGGCTCCACCGCCCGCCTCCTCAGTCTTGAAGGCTTCTGGTCATTCGGCCGCCTCGCTTATCTCACCCCAAAATTTCAAAACAGGAAACCTTAATGTGAATGTCCGTTTTTCATCCCAGGAATAAGTGTAATTACGGATGCCTTGCACTGTTCTCGGACTGATTCCCACGCCTCTGGACCACGAGGCTTTCCCTCCGCCGTGTCTTCCCAGAGGATGTCTGTCCAGAGGCAGACACGGCCCCATGTTCCCCTCAGGACACGCTCCCCACGCTGGACTGGAAGGCCCGGCCCCAGGCACGTGGCTGGGCGCGATGTGGCCCCACCCGGACCGCACCTTCTCCGGACACCGGGGTGGGGTGCGCTCAGTCCTGGGGACGCGTGTGGTGGCAGCCGGCTAGGCCTCAAGCTGAGCCCATCGCACTGGCTCCCTGCGCCGGCCCAGGCAGACTGCAGGGCCCGGGGGTTCTGGAGGTTGGGAAGGTGTCCCTTCCTCCTCCCCACCCCACTGTCTGCTTGCTGGATGCGGCGCCCCCAGTCACCCCTAAAGCCCAAACTCCAGATTTTAATCATGTGCAGCTTTGCCTCCGGCCAACCCCAGGAAGCCCGCTCCTCTGAGCCAGACCTGGACGCCCAGCAGCGGGCACCCCTGTGCTGGCCCCGCCTTTCCCACCGGATAAAGCACAACCCCGGGCAGCACCCCGAGTTCACAGGCACCCCCCCAGGGTGGACAGGCCGCGCAGGCTCAGCTCGGCGGGGTGCTTGGTGGATTTTAAAAGATGTGTAAGGTTAATGTTGACAGGTAATGGAGATGCTGTGTGTCTTTTCAAGTGATGAAGTCCACCTGAGGATTTCAAAGAAAAGTTGTAAAATGCTGTGTGAGTAATATTTTACTGTCTGCCATTCCCATGTCAGCACTCATCATGTGACTGTTCATAGCATGGCCATTGCTTAGCCATTGGAGGATATCATTTGTTAGTGGAGATCGGAGAATTTTATTTGTGAGATTCTGCAGAGTTCATTTTTCTATTCCCAATATTTGCTGAAGTTAAATAAAAATTTTCAAGCCATTGATGTATTAAAATATGGAACAGCGATTTTCTGCACCCCCTCTCCATCAGAGCGGTACCCCTGGGCCCTGAGGTTCTGGGTGTGGACACGGTGGGGCCGGGGTGGACATGGTGGGGCCGGGGAGGCCTCTGTCTCCCTGAACCACCACCTTTCCGCACACGGGGACCTCACGGTTGGGATCACACTGAGGGGACCCCCAAGGCAGGGCCGGTCTTCTGCAGGGACAGCTTGTCCCCACACAGCTCTGCAGGGCTCGCCTGGCCACGCCGAGGCCAATTCAAACAGGCAGGGTCTGTCCACTGAGGTCCTCGTCCCTGCTCCTGCGCCCTGGGTCACTTCAGAACCAAAGTAGGCCAAACTG